CTTGAAATGGGGAATCTCACCCAGTAAAAGCAGAAAAGCAGCTTCCCTGCCTTATGTTGGCTCAAACAAACCCATAATTTATATATGGCTTCGGACCCTGTATCTCTCTCACTTATTGGCAGAAATCAAGATTGAATCACATCCTTGGCTTCTGTATCTTTAAGGATTACTCCCCTGGGTTTGGCCTATTCCTGAATTTGAGGTGGACTTCCATGACTGGTTCACTGATGCACCTGGCTGGCGACCACTACAATTGGTACACAGCCTCTGTCAGCTTAAAACTCCCTTTATATTCATGTTTGAAAGTCCCTCCTCAGTGAGCATCCACACAAATGACAAAGATTTGCTCACTTCATGTAGTTGTTGCTACAGTCCTTGTTCCCACACAGGATGCTTTGTTTCGAAGGAATATTCCCACAATGTCCATAGGTAAAGCCTTGGTCCCCAGGTTGGTGGTATTGAGAGGTTCAGTGTACCCTTAGCAGGTGGAACCTGGTGAGAGGTGCTTAGGTCATTGTAGGGAATGCCCCAAATGTGACTGCTGGATCCAGGCCATCCTCTCTCTGCTTTCTCTAAGGTGCTCTTGCTACCCCTGGAACATATAGACCTCTCTTGACCTCATAAGTAGCTTGTATCGCATATTTCATTGTAGTAATTCAAATTTCTGAATAATCTGATATTTTTGTTGCTAGTCTCCTGACCAAATGGCTGGACCATTTACATTGGTTCAGGAATAAATAGAGATGCAGCAAGACATATCAGGTGGGGTAACTCAGTTATCACCACTGCAGCAACTCAGTGCCCTGGGTGGGGTATCCTTATCCACTTTTGAATGAGGTAGCCTCTACCCAAGGGGCAGATGATAGCAGTGGTAGAATCTATCACCTTTCAGTTGCCCAGAACCACTGATAAACTAGACCATGTATTCATCCATACTTGGTCAAATTGTTTCTATCTCCCCCAGGTAGCTATGAGAGAGGCCAGGGCATCTCCTATGAGATGCTTTCTGGCCACCTGCTTAGGGGTCCTGACCTATCTTGATTTTTCGTTTTTGGTACTGGGGAGTGAATCCAGGGGTGCTTAACTACTGAGACACATCCCCAGACTGGTGGTTTTTGGCATTTTATTTAGAATCAGGATCTCACTGAGTTACTTAGGGCCTTGCTAAGTTGCTGAGGCTGGCTTTGAACTCACAATCCTCCTGCCCCTGTCTCCCACATTGCTGGGATTATAGGTATGTACCTCAGCAACCAGCTAATGGCTAGTTTTATTAGTGGGATTGGTAAGTACACAGGAAAGGATGGGAAGTTCAGGTCTCAGAGTTAAATAAGATGCTTTTCTGGTGAGATATTCCATCTCCATCAGATTCTAGGTGCAAGTGAGATGCTCCCATATTTCTTTTTAAAAAGACTTTGTAGTTATAAAATGTTTTGTTTATTTTTATGCAGTGCTGAGGATTGAACTCAGTGCCTCACATGTGATAGGCAAGTTCTCTACCACTGAGCCACAAACCCAGCCCCAAAGGGCATATTTCTAGGAAGGTTCAGGCCATGGGCATTTTCCAAATCTGCACACCCCAGTTGACAGTTTCCTGCTGCCACAGATTCCAATCAGAATGCATAAGGGTTGTGGACACCTATATTTCCATTGGGCTTGAAGGCTGCAACAAAGTCTCAAAGGCAGTGAGTGACTCCACCATGGCCTGTTGAATGGCTTCCAGTCTTGATGTTGAGCTTCAAAGATGGCTGCCTTTCATGTCACCCTGAAATATCACCAGAAGCTATCTAGATGGAGCATGCACTATCCTCAGTATCAGAAGAGGCCTACGTGCTGTTGTGCTTCCTTCTTATTACTGGGTACAATCAGGAAGAGGAAATTCTGTTTAACTTTCTCTAGAATATTCTGTTTTTCCTTTCCTCGTGGTCCAAAGAAATTTCAGCAACTTGGGAGGCTGAGGCAAGAGGATTGCAAGTTCAAGACCAATCTCTACAACCCTGTCTCAAAACAAAATATAAAAGGGGCTGGGGATGTGGCTCCATGGTTAAGCTCCCTTAGGTTCAATCCCTGGTACCAACAAAATTCATTTAAAAATGCAAAATGTAAAAAGAAGGGCTGGGGATGCAGCTTGGGGATAAAGTACCAAAAAAAAAAGAAAGAAAAGTCATCTTCATAAAGTATGACCAAAACTTGTGACAAGACTTGGGCTTCCTTTAATCAAGCCCCACCCTTTGACAAAAGTCTGGGAGTTAAGGTGCCCCTATGGGAGGACAGTAAAAAGTAAACTGCAAGTCATTCTATGTAAAGGCACACTGATATTGATCTTCCTCCTTCAGGGAAATTGAGAGAAAGGCTGTCTATGGCAGCATACCAATATCCAGTACTGGCCACCTCTTCTTGGTATGGTGATAATGTTTGATGCCACAGGCCTTGGCATTCAGCCTGCAATAGTCTGGTTAGCCTCCATGCCTGGGAGGCTTTTGACTGGCTGTGCTGGGCTGTTAGGTGGTCTGAAGCACTTCTGCTTACCCAGGTCTTGAAAGGATAATGGTTTTCTCTCAACAGAGACATTGTATTGCTTTTGATAGGTCATGTAAATTATAAACCTTTTCATTGATCGCCTCTATATAAGTAAGACATATATGGTATTTTTTTACAATCACACTTGTTTTTAAACCTCTTCCTCTTGTCACTCCTTTCCTCATCTATCCTGTCTTCTTGCACAGGTAACTATTAGAATGAATTTCAGAAGTATGTATATGTATTTTCTAAAAAGTATCAATATAGGCTGGTGTGGTGACACATGCCTGTAATCCCAGTGAATACTGAGGCAAAAGGATCACAAGTTCAAGGCCAGTCTCAGCAACTTAGTGAGACCTTGTCTCAAAACAAAATATAAAAAGGGCTGGGATGTGCCTTCGTGGTTAAGAAACCCTGGGTTCAATCCCTGGTACCAAAAAAATTCATTTAAAAATGCAAAATTGTACATTAAAATCATATATTAAATATATGTGTGACAACACATGATATAATTTTAATATATCGTATTATTATAAACCTATATAAATCTCTTTTGGGAAAACCTGATGAAGATTTTTGAAACCAAGAATGGCTTTCAAGGCAATATGAAAGATGGGTTTTTATTATTTTTTAAAATATCTTTATTTATCTATTTTTTATGTAGTGCTGAGGATCGAACCCAGCATCTCGCATGTGCTAGGTGAGTGCTCTACCGCTGAGCCCCAGCCCCATGAAAGATGAGTTTTAATAGGTTCTGGGGTCTCTGGAATTGATTATCTAATCTGATATGATTTCAAGGCATTAGCAACTCTACTTTTCAGTGATGACGAGGGCATTGATAGTCCATGGCAAGATGTAGCAAGAAATAAGAAGCATATCACCATTGGGTATTTGTAATCAAAAAAGGCAAGGTTCTGAATGACCATGTATTTGATACCTTTGAATATTTTGGCCCAACTAATGAGTATGATGAAACTGAGGGGTTGTTGCTAACTGGGCTGGACAAAGTGAGGAAAGAAACCCTTGACCTCAGGGCTTTAAATGACTAGCTCAAAGTGCATCATAAAATGATGTGAAAATTTCTGTCTATCCTGAAAGAAACCTCATCTCCTATAGTTGGAGAGCCATGCCATGTGAAAACAAAACCCAGAATCTTAGCTTCCAGATGACTGAATGATAAAGCAAGTTGAATGCCCAACCTTCTTCCAACAGGAAGTGAGCTTTGCACATTCACTGGGCCCTTACCTGGAACAAACAAAATCTGTACCTGTGATGCTGGACATGGGAATTTGACTTGGTGACGGCAGAAGTGAAGGTAAGTCAGGCAAGTGAGCATACAGGCAAGACCCTTTATTAGGGCTCTACTTGAGAGGGAGACCCAGTACTGACAACAGAGGGTCAGGCTGGCTTTGGGTACAAAGGGAGAGTTAGTTTTAATCATGTGAAAGGGAGGGCTGAGGTTTAGGAATGTTCCTTGGCTTTAGGTACACTGCAAAGGTGTTTTTCTTTTCCTGTGAGGGCACCTTAACTGAGGAAGGCAAAGTCAGTTGTTTTTCCTGGAGCCAAATGTTAGTGTCTATGTCAATGCTGCATCCTGTATAAACCTCTCTGCCTTGTGACAAGAATGAGCTGCTGTAGCTGTTCAGAGAACACATAGGTGGGAAATGGAAGTAACAAATCATGGCAAGTAACAAGTGAAGGGCCCTGGGAATTTTACATTTTGATGGCCCCTCAACAGTTTTTATTCCTTTTGTTGTTTGTCCGCAGAGTCACAGCCAGAGCATCCTGGCTCTAATGGTGCACTTGGTCTCTGAAACTGATAAGGTTGATTGATAGAGATGGTTTGTAAGGCACCCATGAAGTTGGTTTTTCTTTTCTTTTTTGGACTGGAGATTGAACCCAGGGGCACTTAGTCACTGAGCCACATCCCCAGTCCTTTTTATTTTTTTGAGACAGGGCCTCACTAAGTTTCTGAGGCTGGCTTTGAACTTGTGATCCTCCTGCCTTAGCCTCCTGAGTTGCTGGGATTACAGGTGTGTGCCACCACACCATGCACATGAAACTTTTAATAGCAAACAAGCTTTAAGACTGGGTCTTGTTAAATTTCTGAGGCTGGCCTTGAACTTGTGATCCTCCTGATTTAGCCTCTTGAATTGCTGGGATCACAGGCAAGCACCACCAGCTGTACAATCTTTCAGTGGCTGTCAGGTCATAACTTAAGGCCTGGGAGTGCTTTTGTATTTTGTCCCTGTATAACTGGTCTCTAATTGTCTGATCTGAACGCCCATTTAAGAATCTAGAAACTGAAGAAAGCTTTGTTGAGATATACTGAAACTGCTCCTGCTCTGATGCTGGTAACTACCCATGTCCTGACATTAAAATATTAACTAATGGTCTCTTCCCCCACTCCAAAACAATCCCAAATGTAGGTGAACTTTTTTCTTCTTCTCCCAGATGGAAAGTTAAATTATTCCCAAATTAAATAATTTTTGTTGCTTTATTGCTTTCAACTTGGGGAAAAACTTGTGTTAAAAATTATTTAAAATCTTAAAACTCAGCCTCAAACCAATGCTATCTATACTGATAATTTTCATCCAAATTTAATGTCATCAAGAGAGTAAACAAAGCAATACCTTAAGTGAGGCTTGTTTTACGTAAAGAGAATTTTCTACAAATGTTAGTATATGATCAATCATAAAAATCCATTTTAAAATTGTTTCTATAGGCCCATGTTTCCCCCACCTAGCTGATCCTTATTTAAAAAGGAAAATAAAGGCAAGAAGGAAATTTTTAAAACTCCATATTTCTAATTTTGACGACCAGATTTGTCACCACTGTTATATTTGCTTTCATTCTTTTATTAAGAAATATTACAGATCAGTGTAACAACTCCCAGAAAACCTTTCCACATCTCAAAAGGCAACCGATAGCATATATGGACCCATGATCAACATACAGTACTGTCCCTTGCACTGTTTAATTATACAAATGTTATACCAGGTTTCGCTGCAGTTTGCATTTTTCTCTATTAAAATTATGATCAATCCATGTAACTATATGTGAATTTTGTATCTCCTCCCTAAATATTGTGTAGCATTATATCATAGAAATGAACACATTGTATTGATCTATCCATCTCTTGAGGGAGATTTATATGTTAAAGTCCAATTTAGGGTAATCCAAGCCATGATGCAGTGAACACAGTGATCAATCCCTTTGTACACATCTGTGGGTGCTCTGGGGGCTGGTATAACAAAAGAGAATTGATTATTCCATGTTTGTGATTTGAAAAAATCCTATTACTTTAATATATTCAACATAGTTTTAGAGTTTTACTTTTTACATCTGGGTTCTATTTTTGTATATGGTATAAGGGAGAGAGCTAACTTGCTCATGCAAATCTTCCATTTATGAACAGGTCATCCTTACCCCAATGATTTCAATAGAATAGTCATATATAAAATTCCCATATCTTCTTGGAATTCTGTATAAATCCTTGTTTCAATGACACTGTTTAAGTGACAACAGCTTTAAGTAAAGCACATGATGATATATAGTAGTAGAGTGTATCCTTTTCTAGATGTTTGGGTTTGTTGCAGCTGAGTGTGGACCTTTACCATCCATATAGAATTTTAAAATCAGTTTGTGAAATTCTTTAAAATATAACTGGTGTAAGTTTTGAGTGAAAGTACATTAGAGAGTTGAGAGAGAACTTGCATTCTTACAAATGTCAAGTCTTTTCAGACATAATTTCATTTCCCTCCACTTTCAAGTGTTATTTTGTGCCCCTTCAACATGGTTTATAACTTTGTAGATATAAATGTCTCATTACTCATGATTGTGTTATTCTTAGATATTTTTTATCAACACATTTTCTACTGAACTATTTCTTACATAAAATGTTATTTTATAGTTTTTATTACCCCCTCCATCTTCTTTTTCTTGCTTAGTGTACTGCTGAGCTCAACTATAATGCTGATATTCTGAAAGCAGATATTTTCTTTCAGATTTAAATGAGAACATTATTATCAATAAGGTGTCTGCTGAAGATTGTGACAGTCAGCTTTTTCCTCCAATAGGTCACCTTGAAAAGAAATCTCTAATGTTTCATAAATTAATGACATCTTCATCAGGGTTTCCCACATTCCTAGTTCTCTGCTCTAGAATCAGTCATGTAATGTGCCATGAGGTGTTCCTTCCTTTGAAGGCTTTCCCATACCACAGGGAACCTAATGAGTGTGAATTCTCTGGTGTCTAACAAGGTGTGACTTTTGGCTGAAAGCTTTACCACATTCAATGCAGTGATAGGGCTTTTCACCTGTATGTTTTCTCATATGGAGAGTAAGGGATGAGATCTGAGAGAAGGCTTTTCCACATTTACTACAGTCAAAGGGTTTCTCACCCGTATGACCTCGTATATGTATAGTAAGGGATGAGCTCTGGGAGAAGGCTTTTCCACATTTATTACATTCATAAGGTTTCTCACCTGTGTGACCTCTCATATGCACAATAAGGGATGTTCTCTGAGAAAATGCTTTTCCACATTCATTACATACATAGGGCTTCTCACCAGTATGACTTCTCATGTGTAAATTAAGCAGTGAGCACTGAGAGAAGGCTTTCCCACACTTATCACATTCATAAGGCTTTTCCCCTGTGTGACTTCTCAAATGAAGAGTAAGGGATGCAATTTGAGAGAAGGCTTTACCACATTTATTACAGTCATAAGGTTTCTCTCCTGTATGAACTTTCTGATGTGTAATAAAGTTTTGCTTTTGGCTGAAGGCTTTACCACATTCGTTACATTCATAGGGTTTCTCTCCAGAATGAATTTTTTCATGAGCAATGAGATTTGACTTCTGGCTAAAAGCTTTGCCACATTCCTTACATATATAGGGTTTTTCTCCAGTATGAATTCTCTGGTGTCTGACAAGATTTGACATCTGAATAAAAGCTTTCCCACATTCATTACATTCATAAGGTTTCTCTCTAGTGTGAATTTTCTGGTGTGTAATGAAGTTTTTCTTGTGGCTGAAGGCTTTTCTACATTCCTTACATTCATAGGGTTTCTCACCTGTGTGACTTCTCATATGTACAGTAAGGGCTGAACTCTGAGAAAAGGCTTTTCCACATTCATTGCATTCATAGGGTTTCTCACCTGTATGGATTCTCACATGTATAATAAGCATTGAAAACTGAGAGAAGGCTTTTCCACATTTATCACACTTATAAGGTTTTTCCCCTGTATGACTTCTCATATGAAGAGCAAGGGATGCAATTCGAGGGAAGGCTTTGCCACATTCATTACATGCATAAGGTTTCTCCCCAGTGTGAACTTTCTGATGTGCAATGAGGCTTTGCTTCTGGCTGAAGGCTTTTCCACACTCATTACATTCATAAGGTTTCTCCCCAGTATGAATTTTTTCATGATCAATGAGATTTGATTTCTGGCTGAAGGATTTCCCACATTCCTTACATGCATAGGGCTTTTCTCCAGTATGAATTCTTTGGTGTCTAATGAGATTTGACATTTTAATGAAAACTTTCCCACATTCATTACATTCAAAACACTGTTCCCTACTATGAATTTTATGATGTTTAGTTAGTTTTTCCTTGTGACTGAAGACTTTTCTACATTTGTTACATTCATAGGATTTCTCTCCAGTATGAATTCTTAGGTGTCTGATGAGGTCCAATGTTTGACTAAAGCCTGTTCCACAATGATTACACTTAAAGGGGGTTACTACAAGGAGAGATGACTTATTGTCATAAGATTTCACAGCTTCATTATATTCAAAATGTTCCTTTCTTATAAGGCATTTCATATTATTATGACAGTCAAAATTATGTTCTAAACACTTTCCAAACAAGTCATATTCATAGAGATTGTGTCTAGTAGGAATAAAATCTGAGTCTGGAGTAAATGCATTTGCAAATTTCTTAGGATATTCTTTGACTTTTTCTTCAGTGAGTGTGTTCTTGAAAACTTGTCTCAAAAGTCTGTCCTGGGTTTTCTGATGCTCATCAGTTCCCCATATTTCTCCTAAAACAGATTGCAAATAAATGCAACTTATGAATTTTTTCCAATATTATAAGGTCAAAAAATGTTACAATGGGATTGATTCTTGATTTAGTGTTTTGTCTTCCATTATTAAACAAATTTCAAGAGCATATATTTCCTATCTTCTCAGTTTTGAGAATGGAATTTCAGGAAAGTAAATGTGAGTGAAGTTAGATATTTATAAATTCAAACAGTTTTGAGTATTTTTAAGTGAGATCTGCAAGAAAATAACCTGTTAGATAATGTACAAATAATGTATGAAGAAATAATGATAGAGGGGGAAAAAACCCAGGAAACTTAAAAAAAAAAATCACAAGACTCAGGTGTTGTAGAACTCAGTTTAAATGCAGTTTTATAACTGATGTGAATAGTTTTCTGGAAAATGTAAATTATGATAACTGATTCTAGAAGATGTAGAAAACTTATATACACCAATTTCCATTAAATGAAGAGGAAAGTGTGAAAACTTCCTAAAAACAGAACATAAAGACAATTTATCCAGAGAGATTGACATGGGAATTACAAAAAACACTTAAGATAAAACTCCATTCTGTGTAAAATGTTACAAAACAAATAAACAATAAAATAAATAATAAGAAGAAAATGGAAGAATTCCCTATTTTTGTGTCTGAAACATAATATTAATACTACAACTTTACCAAGATGATGAACCAAAAACGCAAACTATATACCAGTTTCATTTATGAAAACTAATTTAAAAATTCTATGTAAAATATCAGAGTGATCCAGAGGGAAAAAAGTGACCCAGATGCACAGTAAGTGTAATACATATCATAATTGTGTAGATAATTATGATAAGTATGTTTTTTGTTTTACTATCAGAAGCTCTATTGTTACATGGAAGTATGTTCACAGGTCAATAATGAAAAAGCAAATAATCCACAGATAATTTAAAAGATGCAAAAACAATGCCTATTTTCATTAAAAAAAAACATTATGAAATGGAAGTAATGTATTACACAAACATTAGCACTGTACTTCCTGGGTAAAATCCAGAAGCAAATCAAAGTCAGGAATAAGAAAAGATGAGTACTATCACCACTAGTATTACACTATAAGTGCAATTAAATAAAAGAAATAAACCAGAGATATAAAAATTTATAAAGGTAAAATTAACATAATTCGTCAATAAAACTATTTACCTGAAAAGTCCAGTCACCTGAAAAGGTATTATAAGAGGTAAGAAATTCACTAAATACTAATTAATACTCAGTTTCAATAACCTTTGTATATACACAACAACTATTAATAATAGAAGAAGAACCACATTTACATAGACTACAAATATACAAAAAAAAAGGAAAAAATAAGAAATTTCCAAAAACCATAAAAAGAAAACTAAAATGAACATATATACATGAACAAATGGAAAGGTATTATGCGGGCCCCATTAAAAATATGGTGAAGTCCTAACTCCCAGTATTTCAAAATATGGACTCAATTGGTCATAGGGTCACTGAAGATTAATAAAGTATTACTAGAATAGGGTAAACTACTAATCCAATGTGAGATATTTTTAAAAGACTGCTGCATGATATTGAGATGCAGATTGGAGTCATGCTGTCACAAACCAAGGAAGAGGTGGGACTACCAGAAGCTAAAAGAGACAAGAAAGGATACTTCTTCAGATTATGGCCCTACTAACACCTTGATTTTAGACTTCTGGCCTCCAGAACTGTAAGAATAAATTTCTATTATTCTAACTCACCCAGTTTGTGGTACTTTGTTTCAGCAGCCCTGGGAAAAGGTATTACATTCTTGGATAAGAACATTCACTAGTATATAAAGATGACATTAATCACAAGTTAGAGATTTCAATATAAAATTTTGAAAATATAAGTAATAGCTCAAAGGAAATGAGCAGTAGCCACTATAGAGGATAAATAGGTAAGAGAAGAATTACCTTTTCTACTTTAAAAACTTTGTACTATGAGGGGCTGGGTTTGTAGCTTAGTGGTAGAACACTTGTTTAGCATGTATGAGGCACTGTGTTCAGTCCTCAGCATGGCATAAAGTAAATAAAATAAAGGTACTGTGTCCATCTAAAACTAAATATACATACATATACATATATATATATATGTGTATGTTTGTGTTTATATATTTATGTATGTATATAAATTGTTGTACTATGAGAATGTGCTGTATATTCAAAAAGGTGGATAAGTAAATTGTTCTGAACATTGTAGAAATCAATAAAATAAGAACATGAAGGTAAAAAGTAGTATTAAGAATTGGAGCATAAAAATGGAGGAGCCCACCTAGGTTGACAGAATAGAGTACAAATATAGTGAGCAGGGGGGGGTAAAACACAGTGGAAAACTAAAATTAAATACGGTACAGTAGACACATGGGTTTTTCTCTTATTCCACCACAGACTGTAATAAGGATAAATAAAAAGGTATAAACTAACAAAGACAAAACCAATGAGACAACAATTGATGACCAATGTAAAGATAATTTTTAGCTGATGGGAAGATGATGAAGAACTGTTACATGTAAGAAGAATTTAGAGGGCTGGGGTTGTTGCTCAGTGGTAGAGCACTTGCCTAGCATGTGAAAGGCACTGAGTTCGATCCTCAGCCCCACATATAAATAAATCTAAAAAAAAAAAAAGTAAAAATCCACTGACAATTAGAAATATTTATATAAAGAAGAATTTAGAGAGCTGAAACTCAAGTGTCTGCAGAGGAAGATATCAAAAAGCAAAATCCAATTCCCATGACATAACTAGAGAAAGGCTCAAGAATTAAGAGAAATCACATGGGCGCAGTGTTGCACGCCTGTAATCCCAGCATTTTGGGAGGCTGAGATATGAAGATTGTAAGTTCAAAGTCAGCCTCAGCAACTTAGAGAGACCCTGTCTCTAAATAAAATATAAATAAGGCTAAAGAAGTGGCTCATTGGTTAAGCACCCCTGCATTCAATCACTGGTACAAAAAAAAAAAAAAGAAAGAAAGAAATCTTGTACCATGAAAGATAAGAATGAATGAGGGGGTTAAAAAACTAGAGGACTGACTGCAAGTCCAGATGGCAAAACAGATGCCTACATTGTGCATGAGATGCCTATTATGTCTTTATCCTAGAGAAGATGGGAGACTACTCTCTGGTTTTAGAGAAATGGAATCAAAAAAGGCTCCAGAGTCAGGGACTCGGCAGAGGAATATAAAAGAAAGAAAAATAAACTGGCTTGAACACAGGGAGACTAAGTGAAAGTCTATATACTAAAGAGTGGCACAATATTTCCAGTGGCAAAATGGAGATTTTTCTCCCTTTCTGCCAGACTGAGCATGAAGCGAGGGAAAAATTCCTGTGAAATTGTCCTGGAAGCAGGAATATTAAGAGGCTTGGCTGCAGGTTATAAGGACAGAATACTAAGCTCTTAGATCACCTCATGTACTTGGAAGAAGAGAAGCACAATCAAGCAAAAGATGTGGAAGGAGAAGGTAAGATCAGGTCATCAGGGTATTATCCAAGCAGAAGTGAAAGAGAACTTCAAAGACAAGACCAAAATATCAAATGTGACAGAAAAGATTCCATGTTTTAGATGGAGTACAAAAAGTCTTTGTTATCTTTTCCTTTCTACAAAAAAGAAGTATGACCTAAGGAGGTAGCTGGAGACCCAGTTATAATAAATGAGTTTGATATAGACAAATATGATGAAGACTGGAATGGGAAAGATTCCAAGAGAAGCCAGCTATTCATGCTGATCTTGGGCAAAAAAGCAGTTGAAGTATCAAAAGAAAAAGAAATCGCACCTTCAATGTCAGAATAAATTAACCATTGCTTACAGTGTAGGAATTTGGGAGTACAGATCAAGGAGACTATTGATGTATGAGAAAAGGCAGAACTGAACAAGAAAACGCCTCACCTGTTGATGTAAGTTTGGTTTATTGTAATCTTACAGAAGGTGTGATATTTAGACTTGCAGCTCCAGTTCCTTTCTGAATGAGAAGAAATAAGGCCTAAACATACGTATTCACCCACAAGCATCAAGAATAAAGGACTTCAGGAGGGAAGGAGGAGTAGAGGTTCAGTGGATTGGACAGTGAAGAGTCGGGGGAAGGGGAAGGGAGATGGGAATGGATTGAGAACTTTCCTATGTTCATATATGAACACACAACCAGTGTAACTCCACGTCACATACAACCACAAAAATGGGAAGGTATATTCCATATATGTATGATATGTCAAAATACATTCTACTGTCCTGTATAACTAAAAAGAACAAAAAAACTTCCAAAGAATAAAAGGGCTTCAAAATGAAGTAGAGATACATTTCTATAGATAATGGTTGGCAAACTTTTTCTTAAAGCCTTAGATAGTAAATATTTTAGATTTTGTGGGCTACATAGTCTATTGCAAGTATTCAACTTTGCTATTGTAATGTGCAAGCAGTTACAGACAAGATATAATTAACTGTATGTGGCTATGTCCCAAATAAAACTTTAGTTACAATAAAAAGTACCTGGCCTAGACTTGGTTAGTTTGCTGACCTTTGTTCTAAAGTAGAACACTCCTTTTTTTCCTCCAATATTATCCTTCTTAAAATAGTAGGTTAAAGAAAAACTGAGAAATGAGAAAGAATTAGAATCAGATCACAAAAATTTTAATAGAAAAGAATTTGGCATAAGGGCTGGGGATGTGGCTCAAGTGGTAGCATGCTCGCCTGGCATGTGTGCAGCCAGGGTTCGATCCTCAGCACCATATACAAACAAAGATGTTGTGTCCGCCAAAAACTAAAAAATAAATATTACAAAAAAATTATCTTGGCATAAAGAAAGCAGACAAAAATACAAGCTAAAAAAGTTTGCAATCCACAGGTGATAATCTTGACTAAAAAATATTGCCATGAATTTTTAAAAGCTAATTTTTAAAACAACATATGTAAATCTAGGCCCCAAATAGAAATTTGAATGCATGAGGAAGAAACAATGGGAAAAGAAACAGGAATAAGGGCGGGGTTGTAGCTCAGTGGTAGAGCGCTTGCCTAGTACGTGTGAGGCACTGGGTTCGAACCTCAGCACCACATAAAAATAAATTTAAAGAAAAGTATTGTGTCCTTCTACAACTTAAAAAAAAATTTAAAGGGATAAAATGCTTACCAGTAGAACCAAGAAAATAATTAGAAGAGAAGAAAACAAAGCCACCTCTGAAGTGAACAATACTATGCAAGCAGGAAAAAAGTAAGACTTTACTATCAGAATTATGGTACAATAACCTCATCTTGCAAAAACAACAGGATGATGGATGAAATGGACATTGTGATGCATTATTAGGCTTGTGGGAAGTAGCATTAACCTCTATACCTATAAATCACCCACCTATCTCTCACATACACACAATAAAAAATCTGGAGTGGTGGCATGCTCCTGTAATCCTAGCTACTTTGGAGGCTGAGGCATGAAGATCCCAAGTTTGAAGTCAGCCTTTGCAGCTTAGAGAGACCCCGTCTCAAAAATAAAAAGGGATGGGAATGTAGCTCCAGTGGTAAAGGTCCCCTGGGTTCAATCCCCAGGTGTTTTTTTTTTTTCTTTTTTAATTGTAGTTGGACACAATACCTTTATTTCACTTATTTATTTTTATGTGGCGCTGAGGAACGAACCCAGGGTCTCCTATGTGCGAGGCAAGCACTCTACCGCTGAGCAACCCCAGCACATACACACACACACACCGCCTTTTTTTTTTTTTTTTAAAAGAAAAAAACAAAGATCACTGTTAGCTAAAAACAGATTTGGGAAAGGAAATTAGTAAGTAAGCTGGAGGATGGGTTTGGTCTGATGTCGAGGCCAAAAAAAAAAAAAACACAAAAAAACATCAAAAATCTGCTAACTGAAGTATAAGCCTTGGGTCAATAACAGAAGCTTAACTGAGGCTCCTACAAAGAATGAATTGGTTATGCTTCTTGCTATCCCCCAGAGGCATGTGCAAATCATCCTCAGGAGAAAGCAACTTCAAATTAGAACAAGATTATTATGAATCAGGATAAACGCCATTTGAACTCACAATCAGCAATCAAATACATGAAGAAGCAACTACAAGTGAGACATCAAAATTAAATCTCATAGCGGCTCTGGAGGCCGAGACAGGAGGATTGTGAGTTCAAAGCCAGCCTTAGCAATGGCGAAGCACTAAGTAACTCAGTGAGACCTTTTCTCTAAATACAATACAAAATAGGACTGGAGCAATTGCCTAGCATGTGTGAGGCACTGGGTTCGATCCTCAGCACCATATAAAACTAAATAAAATAAAGGCATTGTGTCCAACTACAACTAAAAAATTAAAAAATATATCTTTAAAAAATTAAATACTGGAACTGTCAGAAATACAGAATATAAAAGAGCTATATATATAGTATAGAATTTCTAAAGAAGTACAGGATAAAAACATAAAGAGGAATAAAACACAGGAATTATTTGAAATATCCAGCAAGATTTAAAAAAAGGAAAGAAAGAATTTATAAAAATACAAAATACAACTGCTGACTTTACAAAATAAAATAGTTGCGTTAAACAGATCATAAACACAATCTAAGGTAAATTGGAAGATGTTAATACCAAAAAAGACTAAAACATTTGAATAGGATAATATAAATATAAAAAGAAAAATAAAAAGAGTTGTCAAGGAAATTTTCCCTAAAAAATCCACGTGTTCCACATAGTTCAACAGGTAAGATCTACCTAAGTTTTAAGGAAATTATAACACCAGTGCTGTGTAATTATTTTACAGCATGAAAGAACACTTCCAAATTCCATTTACGATATCAGTGTGCCACTGACATCAAAGCCTTGATGTCAAAGTTGGAACAATTATTTAATTTTGGAGTAAATGTGAAGATAAATCATTATTAACAATTATGTAAATATAATTACACCATATATAAAGGAGGAGTAAAACAGGGTAATCTTCCGTGGGAAAATATTACATTTTTAAAAAAGTGATGGTGATAAAAAGTACATAAAAAAATAACTGAGGAAAAATATGAAAAAACATATATAACACATAGAAGGCCAGTCACCCTACTGTGTTAAACGTTCATACAGATTAAGAATTTAAAAGAGAAAAGGTCAAAAGACATAAACTGTTTATAAAAAGAAATAGATTTTAAATATTTTTTTTAGTTGTAGTTAGACACAATATCTTTATTTATTTATTCTTATGTGGTGCTGAGGATTGAACTCAGGGCCTTGCACGTGCTAGATGAACGCTCTACTGCTGAGCCACAACCTCAGTCCAGAAATATAGATTTTAAACATATGAAAAAAATACTTGCCTTCATTCATAATAAAGGAAATATAAATTAAAATCACAGTTATTTTTACCTATCACGTTGGCAAAGAATTTTTAAACAGACTATGTTGACAGAAATTATTGGTAGAAATATAAATTATTAGTCTCTTTGGAGGGTAAAAAAATACATGTGTATGTGTTTATGCATGTTATGCATATATGTAAATGCATGTATAGATGTATGTGTACCCATGTATATGTATATACACATCATACATGTTCTCTTATGTACGTGACAAATATAGAAGAAAATGGAAATATAGAAGAAGCTAATGGAAAATCAGCACTGAATAAAATTTTTACTGACGATAAGGGGGTAATCATAATTAAAGTATGAAAGCAAAAGCTAAAACTATAGTAGAAAGTATGACTATGATCCAAACAACAAACAGAGTAGGAAGTAAAGGACTATAAATGTCAACAGATTTATCTGAACAACTCAAAGTTCATGATTGTCAGTATACAAAAGTAAAGAATGCTTTTTAAAAAGGTGGACAGGGAGATTTTAGATACAATAACAGAATATTATTAAAGTCGGGTTGGAAACTGATTAGAAAAGGTTACTGCCCAGCACCCAGATTAGAAGGCCAACCCAGACCTCTAAGTTCTGAGGAAAGCATACTATCAAAAAATGACATCTTAGGGCTGTGGTTGTGGCTCAGTGGCAGTGCGCTTGCCTAGTGAGGCACTGGGCTCGATCCTGAGCACTGCACATAAATAAATAAAGGTCCACTGACAACTAAAAATTATTTTTTAAAAATGACATCTTTGTTTTATAGAGTCCACACCAGCTATTACTACAAAAGTCTACAGGGTTTTAGAAAATACCTCTGGAGAACATTTCGGGTTGGATCAACTGCTCACTAATTAACCATTCATAGTGTTTTATCCCCATCCTTACCTGTCTGGTTCCCTCCCACTAACCTGAACAGTGTCTCCTAAATACTTCTTCTTCTACCACCCATGGTTCTTCTTCTTGCTCCAACTTGAAAATTACTTCAGGTTTGGTGAATGGATAGCCTGTCAAACAAATAACAGAGATTTGGGCACATATACCGGGAACAAAGAACAAACCAAGAATCCAGGCTGGCCCAGGAAAACTTGGCTTTGTGACAGACAAGAAAATGAGGATTCTGGGAATGCTGCCCTGGTGTCTTTTCATAACCAAGGATGATCTTCTGTTTTGAAAGCTGCAGTGTCAGCAGCCACATGAACAAAAGCATCTCACAGCCAAAAAGCATTTAAAAGTTCCCACCGGGCACAGTGTTCAGCACACCTGTAATCCCAGTGACTTGGGAGGCTGAGGAAGGGAGATCCCAAGTTCAAGGACAACTTAACAAGACCATGTCTAAAAATAAAAAATAAAAAGGGATGGGGTTGAGAGAGTTCAGTGGTAAAGTGCCCCTGGGTTCAATCCTCAGAACTATGACAAAGAAAAAATTGAAAAGTTCCATATATTTAAGACATATTTTCCCAAAATGTTTATTTCCATATAAAAACATTTTCCCAAATAGGTTTTAAAAATATGGAAAAATTCATATTTCTAGAATTTGAATTATATAGTAAACTAGTCTTACCTACTGTGATTAAGTTGTTATAGTTTTCTAACATCACATTCCGGTACAGGTTCCTCTGAGCAGGGTCCAATTGCTTCCATTCCTCCTGGGTGAAGGCAATGGCCACATCTTTGAATGTCACTGTTCCCTGTAACAACACACTCCTGTTCAATCTGAAGTCTCCATCTCAGGGGATGTTGACAATATATTGAACCTTGTTCAGATACTATCAGAAATAAGAGGTTAAAAGAACCTGGCCTGTTATCATTTTCCAAAGAACCAAAACAAACAAAAAAACAACAACAGTAATATTAGAAACATTCTGTCAGTTCATGTTCATTCACTGATTTAGCAAGTACATACCTTTAATAACTATCAAGGGTTAAAGAGAAGATATCGGGTACCAATTTATACTGAGTGTAAAAGAAATGGAAAAATAAAACTTTCAATTTAACTCTCTTGGGACCTCCTAAATACCAAGGGCAGGAAAAATGAAAGCAGGATTTGGATGGTGGCAAAAGCAGGGAGAGAATGAGCAGTAAAATTTGAGGTTAAATTAACAGGACATTAATTTACCAATTGTACATACTGTTCAAAAGGAGGAGAAATTTTTTTCTTTTCTTTTCTTTTTTTTTTTTTTTTTTTGGTACCAGGGATTGAATCCAGGGGTCTTAACCCATGGACAACATCCCCAACCCATTTTTTTGGGTGGGGGTACCAGGGATTGAACTCAGGGGCACTTAACCAATAAGTCACATCCCCAGCCCTATTTTGTATTTTATGTAGATACAGAGTCTCACTGAGTTGTTAGCACCTTGCTTTTACTGAGACTGGCTTAGAACTCACAATCCTCCTGACTCAGCCTCTGAGCCAATGGGATTTCAGGTATGTGCCACTGCACCCATTCCTTTTTGTGTTTTATTTTGAGACATGGTCTTGGTAAGTTGCTTAGGGCCTTGCTAAGCCTGGTCTGGAACCTGTAATCCTCCTGCCTCAGCCTCCCAAGTAGCTGGGATTACAGGCATGTCCACCATGCCCTTGCAAGAGGAAGAGAAATCTTTGTTGGAAATTAGTTTATCATCCTTTAGTATGTGTCTGTAGCCATGAAAATAAGATCTGATGGCTCAAAGAGCTTACATACATTGAGAAAGAGGGTCACAGAATCCTACAGATAACAACAACAACAAAAAAAAGATGCCCTGATAAATGGCCAGCACTAGAAAGTATACCTGCAACTATGAGAAAATAGTATGAAGATAGTTATAGTGTGAGTTTCAGAAATGAGAGATTTTCAAGAAAAACTCTTAAAAGCAATGTGATTTGAATACAGAAATCTAACAGTCCCTCCTAGTTCAAAATTAAAATGCCCCAAAGAATATGAACACAAGAAAAAAATCTTTAACAGCACTGGAAAAAAGAGAGAAAATGTATTTCCTTATCTTTTGAGGAATTTCTACCAGAAATGGGATGAGATAGAAGTCCCCAACAGCTAATTCCCAATGTTTCTAAGAATTTATTTATTTATTTTTAAATATATTTTTTAGTTGTCAATGGACCTTTTATTTATATTTATTTATTTATATGCAGTGCTGAGGATTGAACCTAGTGCCCCACACATGCTTGGCAAGCACTCTGCCACTGAGCCACAATCCCAGCCCTTCTAAGAATTTATTTTAGGATCTTTTATGACTCCATGAATATGAATATCCATTAATACTAAGGGTTCAGAGAAAGCTGCGGCACTGATGGGATATCATCTCTAGGAAACCTTTCCTGCTGAAGGTCAGGACACTTGAAATAATTATGATGCTAGGGCAAGTGTAACCATGTGGAATGATGAGGTAGGAGTCAACTATTGAGAATGGCAGAGCAATAAAACAGAAGGAATCTTGTTCCCTGGCCTTTGAAGGTAGAGGACCAGCCCTAGTCTGCTATCACCTAAAATTCAACACAAGAAATAAACTTCTGTCCTGTTATGGAAATGTTTTCTGAGATTTCTACTACAGGCAGTTAATTATAATCCTGACACATAAAAATACTCACGTCATGAAGAGAATACTTCAAGTACCATGTCTGTGGCAGCCATGGAGGTATGCACAGCTGAGAGTCCCAAATAGAGTTGGCAAACAGCCTGCAGTTTGAGAGCCAAACATTGCACCCAGCCAAAGACTGAACATGGGGGGAGGCACTGGATTGTAGACTATTGCTACCTACAGTATCCCCCTAATAGAAAAGTTTTGGTCAGCAACTTCTCACTGGTCTAGATGAGATTTTCTCACAGACACAGGACAGTCTGAATTGGCAGAAGAAAGAATCTGCAATTGTGGCATTTGCAGGAACATGGATGGAATTGAGAGCATTATGTTAACTGAAATAAGCCAAACTCAGTCAAAGGTCATGTCTTCTCTTATAAGCAGAAGCTCCTAGAGAGAAAAGGAAGGTGAGGAATCTCATGAAAACAGAAGGGAAACCAGAAGAGTAGAGGAAGGGGAGCAGGGTGAGGGAAGAGGGGAAGGAAAGGGGGAGGTCCTATGGAAAGAAACTGGTGACATTGTTATATTGTGTGCATGTACAAATACATAACAACAAGTCCCACTATTATGTATAGTTATAATGCATCAATAAAATACAAAATATCTATAATACAGAAATTATGCATTTTGAAGAAGGAAAAAAGCATGAAGTAAATACAAACTCAGAGGAATATGAGACATCAGTAAAAGCATCAAAATATATATGATTTCAGTACTAAAGTATAAGTTTTTTTTAAAGGGGGGGGAGAATTTTTTAATATATATATTGTTTAGTTTTCGGCAGACACAACATCTTTGTTTGTATGTGGTGCTGAGGATTGAACCCGGACAGCACGCATGCCAGGCGAGCGTGCTACCGCTTGAGCCACATCCCCAGCCCAAGTATTAAGTTTTTTAAATATATTTTTTAGTTGTAACATGGACACAATACCTTTATTTATTTATTTTTATGTGGTGCTGAGAATAGAACCCAGTGCCTCACACATGCCAGACAAGCACTCTACCACTGAGCCACAACCCCAGCCCAAGGATGAAGTTTTAAAGAGAGGAAAGTACATGAAAATATTGTAAGAAATAATGACTAAAAACTTACTAAATTTGGTAAAAAACACTTAACACTGCTATCTAAGGAGCTAGACAAACTCCAAGTAGGATAAACAACAAGGTACACACCTAGACACATCATAGTTCAAGGTTGAAGTAAAGATAAAATCTTAGAGCAGCAAGTGAAAAACTTCATTATCTTCAAGGGAATTACAATAAAATTAACAGCTGAATCAATGGAGACCAAATAACAAAGGGACAATATATTCAAAGTGTTGAAAGAAAAAAAAAGCAGCTTTAAATAAAGAATCCTATACTTAGGAAAGTTATTTTTTAAAAAAGCTAGGCAGGAGGGGCTGGGATTGTGGCTTGGGGCTGGGATTGTGGCTCAGCGGTAGAGCTCTCGCCTAGCACGGGCAGGACCCGGGTTCAATCCTCAGCACCACATAAAAATAAAGGCATTGTGTTGTGTCGATCTATACCTAAAAAATATACATTAAAAAAATAAAAAATAAAAATAGAAATGCTAGGCAGGAAAAGCCAATGGAAAAGGGACAGAGTCCATTCTTTAAAATAGTCTTTGACAGATTTTACTTTTCCCAATTAAAGTCCATTTATTTGTTTATTTTAATGTTTTATTGGGTTATAATTATACACAATAGTGGGATTCATTGTGATATACTCAAACATGGACCTAATATAATTTGTTCAATTTCATTTCCCAATATCTTTGCTTTCCCTCCCATTGTCCCTCTCCAATCCCCTTTATCCTATTGGTTTCCTTCTGTTTTGTTTTATTTATTTATTTGTTTGTTTATTTACTTATTGTTTATTTACTTATTGGGTACTGGGGATTGAACTGAGGGGCACTTAACTAACCACTGAGCCACATCTTCATTTAGAGACAGGGTCTCACTGAGTTGTTCACTTTTGCTGAGGCTGGCTTTGAACTTGAGATCCTCCTGACTTAGCCTCCCGAGCTGCTGGGATTCCAAGCATGTGCCAATGCACCCATCTATTTTTTTTTTAATTTTAAAAAATAATTCTATAGGGTTATAGCTGTAGCTCAGTGCTAGAGCACTTGCCTCACATGTGTGAGGCACTAGGTTAAATCCTTAGCATCACATAAAAATAAACAATAAAATAAAGATATTTTAAAAATAATATTTCTTTAGTTGTTGATTGACATTTATTTTATTCATTAATATGTGGTGCTGAGACTCGAATCCAGTGCCTTACACATGCCAGGCAAGTGCACTACCACTGAGCCACAGCCACAGCCCTCCCCTTCTTTTTGTTTTCTTGCATTTTTCTCTCTAGTTTCCACATATGAGAGAAGCTCATAAAGGTTAAAATGAAAATATTGTTTAATAGCTTATAGGCTAATTTAGGGTCTAGGAGTACTTGAGGTTTTTCATTATGAATATCATGAAATTCTTACTTGAGCTCTGGGGTTATTTTTAAATCAAAAAAATAAATGACTGAGGGCTGAGGCTGTAGCTCAGTGGTAGAGCACTTGCCTCAAAGGTGTGAGGCCCTGGGTTTGATCCTCAGCACCATATATTAAATAAATAAATAAATAAATAAAGATATTATGTCCATCTACAACTAAAAATAATAATAATTACCTAGTTATTAGAATGTATCCAGCACAGATTTAGATACTAAGGATAGCAGTAAGAAAGACAACATTCTGGTCCTCTTGGAACTTACATTATACTTAGGGCACACGGAAATGAAAAAATAAATGAGTGAATAAGCAAGACAAAGTATAATAGTAATAAATCATTAAAATGTAATAAGATAATGGGTTTAAATAATATACTTTGAATTTGGTAACAGAAGCTGTTGAAGAGGGTAATATTTCAGCTACAACCAGAATAAAGAGAGTCATATAAACATGCAGGATGGTGGGCTGGGGTTGTGGTTGATGGTGGAGCACTTGCCTAGTATGTGTGAGGCACTGGGTTTGATCCTCAGTACCACATAAAAAATAAAGTTATAAAAAATATGCAGGATAATAAAACATAATGATATGTTTAAAGTTGTTTCTTTAGGTATAAACTTTATCTCTTCAGAGGTGGGAAAATTCAATGTGGCTGAAACATCATAGATAAGAGACCAGTATAGCACAAGACAGTGGTAAAGATGGAGGCAGAAGGCATATCCTGAAGGGTTTGGTTTGGTGAAGGACATTATCCCAAGCATAATGGGAAGCCATGAGATGATTTTAAGCAGGGAAGTTAATGCCTTAGGTTTTCAGTGTTCCCTTTCAATGTTCTACAGAAAATGAACTATAGATGATCAGTGATAAATGAAGGGAGATCAGTAGGAAGGTACCAAAGTAGTTCCAGGTAAGAGATAACGTGATGTGGGCTACATGACCCACAGTAGTATTATTCAGTGACCAGATCTGAGGTATGATTGGTCTTTCGTAAGTTAGATTAATCTGATAGTTTAAAAAATCTTATTTGCATTTTATTAATCATGAGGGTAGCTGAAGTCATAGAGGAAAGTGGCTGGGAACAAAGGCTCCACATTAATACTGTTCAGACTCCTGATTCTAATACAATCTACAACCTTAAGCAAGTTTCTTAATCTTTCTATCCTTTTTATCCATTGTATTTGAAACATGGAAATAATGAGAGTATTCACCTCTTGGACTCCTTATGAAGATTTTATAATCTATGTAAAACTTTGACATTCTTTATATCATTATTTGTAACTTTTATGAGCCCTTCCTTTTTATTTTTTCAATTGCAAATAATTTCTTTCATGTCCCCAGTTTTCTACCAGATTTCATTTTAATTACTGGCTTATAAATATATTTAAATACTAGATTAGTCTGCTATATATTACTAAAATTGTTATTGGTTTATTTTATTTATGGTTATTGTATCAAAAAGAATACAGTTTTTGTAGACCCAGATTTAATTGAGTTTCTCTTTTATCACCTATGAGTTCATATTATGTCAAAAAGGCAAACTTGTGAGGATAGAAAATATACTCAAGAAGGTTATCTTGGAGTGACTGGGAGCCCTCAGATATTGTTAGGGTATATTTGTTGACAGTTACTTTGGAAAACTGTTTTCAATAAAAGTTGACCTCATATATAACTTATGATGCAGAAGTTCATCTTTTGGTATATATCCTAAGGAACATGTGCATGTGTCCAAAATGGACATCTACAATAAAGTTCACAGCAACTACTTATAATTTTTCTAACATAAAAATCATCTAAATGCCCATTAACAGGAACTCATATGAATAAAATGTGGTTTATTTACATAACTGAATAATAATATATGATGAAATTAACTGAGATCAAAGACACACTGTATATCTCAGTACAAAAAAGCTTTGAGCTGAGGGTGAAAAGGCAGTGAGAGAGATGTTCAATATCTGAGAGTGTAGGGTAAATGTGAGAGAGAAAGATCACAAAAGAAGTGTGAAGCAAAAGGGTTAAATTCTGAGAAAAAGGAATTATCCGTGAAGAGGAATTAGAATATCACTTAGTCTAAGGGTCAATAAAAAAGAAATAAGGGATTGTGGGTTCAATTCATTAAAACTATGAATATTCAAACAAAATGTGTACTAGGTGATGAAGATAGGGCAGAAAACAAAGTAAAACACACTCCCTGCTCACAGTCTAGTTAACTACACTTACAAGAATTTACCAGAAATTATTACTTTACATTGTGGCTCTATCAGAAGCAAATGCCCACTGAAAAAGACAATTACATAGGGTCATTTGAAAGCCACATAGCCCACATCTTTCTTCAGATAGTCTAATTTTTTAAAATTGAGGTATGGCATGCATAGATTAATGTGGTACAATGTGCTGATGTTAAGTGTACAACCTGATACACTTTTGAGACACTTACAGACATGTTTACTCAAAGTCAAAATACTAAACATTTTTAACACTTCAGCTTAATTCATGCCTTTTCCCAGTAAATACCCTCTCATAAGGAACCACTATTCTGACTTCTATCAAAGTAGATTAGTTTTACTAGCTTTTGAACTTTATATAAATGAAACCTTTTGTATATACTTTTTGTTTCTGGCTTCTTTTGCTCTGTTGATGAGATTTACCCATCTTGTTGCATGTACCAGTAATGTAGTCTTTTTTATTGTGTAGTATTCTATCATATGAAATACTATATTTTATTCCAATTTTTTTTCTGATGTTCACTTGCATTCTAATGCTAAGGCAATTCAGATATTCTTTATTTTATCTTTGATCAAAACAGACCAACTGAAAGCTAGCTTATCGATTATAATAAGTCACACAATTTTCATTAATCAAAGTGGCAATAAAAAAAGCTTATTTCTAGGGCTGGGATTGTGGCTCAGAGGTAGAGCGCTCACCTAACATGCATGAGGCACTGGGTTTGATCCTCAGCACCATATAAATATAAAATAAAGATATTGTGTCCACTATAACTAAAAAATAAATATTTTTTAAAAAGAAAAGCTTATTTCTGTTAGGAAATGTTTGTTTTTTTGTGTACGTACAATGAAAATTAAGTAATGAATTTCTGCTTTAGTTTGCTGTACTTATAAAAATGAAATTCATAAAAAAAGTCCATCAACAAACTAAAAACTTTTTTAATGAAATTCATTTTTGAAGCCTAATCTCTCTGAATGGACCCATTTCATAAAATAGCCACATCTGAACTCTTCCCTAGTTTTAATCTTCTATTTCCTCTGAAAATGTTTTTTTTTTTATATATAGGCCTTTCTAATTTACTATATGGATTATTGCCATCTCCTTAAAACTGCATTGCAGAATAAGGCAGGGAACAAAGAGAAAATTTAATATTTACCTGGGACTCAGTCATTTCCTCTTCTTTCTAGAAAGGGACAGGGTCCAAAGAGGCAGAGCTGGGGAAGAGAGTAAAAGTCCTTAATTAGGAGAGGCCTGACTTGTGTTTCAGAAACCTGTTTCCATAGGTACATTAAACACCACCTCTAGCAGAATGATACTTGGATCTATCAGAAAGGTCAAAAATATTCACACCCACAGAGTATAACTAGTATGGTTCTAGGGAACTTAGTTGTGGGATGGATAGGAACAGGAATGCATATATGAGAGATACCCCATGAATATATCAATAACTCTGTGTCAGAAAAAACAGCTTCATGGGAGCAGGGGTACTGGGATTGAACCCAGGGACACTTTTCCATTGACCTACATCCTCAGTCCTTTTTATTTTTTTTGAGACAGGTTCTCACTAAGTTGCTGAGGCTGGCCTGGAACTTGTGATCCTCCTGCCTCAGCTCTCCAGTCTCTGAAATTATAGGCGTGCACCATTAAGTCTACATCTATTACTTTACTGTCTAACAATTTTTGTTGTTGTTGACTTATTTTAAATAACTTTTGTTGTTCATTTGAAGATTTTCCCTAAAAAGATCTTTTAAAAGAAAATTTGGCCAGATAAATTATAGTGAGAAAAGGAAATTTGCCTGGGAGCAAAGAGATTTTTCCTTCTAGTCTTTCCTGTGCCAATAATAAGCACTGTAACCCTGGGATTGGTTTCTTACAATCATTATAATGAAACTTTAAAGAGATAGCAGAATAAGATGGTTTCTGAGCAGCTGCACCAGCATTGTGAAGTTCTGTAAGGAAAACTTGGTATCTTTTTCTTTTTTCCCTTCATGTTTTTAAAACAGCTTTTATTTTTTAAAAAGTTAATATGTGCATTATAGGAAGCAGAAAAATAAAAGCAAAGAATAGTCATCCAGTCATGAGCAGCTTAGTTGGATGTGTCCTTCCAGGTCCTGTGTGCACACACACAGCATCCCATTTTGTGTGACTGAGATCAGTGTATCATGCTTTTCCACACATCACGAATATTCACTAATTCAAAATCCCAGAGCTACATGAATATACTATACAAGAATATACTGTACCAATTCAATTTGTTAGGAAAAAACTGGGGCCTTTCTTGGGTACAAAAATTTCAATGAACACAGAAATGGCAACAGACCTCTAGACAGAAGTATTATTAGCAGAGTCACAACTAAAATAATGTATTCCCTTAATCCTCAATTTATGAGACAAAACAACAGAGTACACCAATCATATTTCTTTTTTTAATATATATTTTTTTGTTTTAGGTGGACACAATATCTTTATTTATTTTTTTTAATATGGTGCTGAGGATCGAACCCAGTGCCTCGCGCATGCCAGGCCAGAGCGCTACCACTTGAGCCACATCTCCAGCCCCCCAAACATGTTCATTATGAGATTTCTACTATCAAAATATTAGCAAGAAAGACGTTCCTAGTGAATGCAAGTGCTCCTACAGCAGTGGTCAGAGCAAAATGTAAATCCTTGAGCACTTGCTCCTGCCTTTCCCTACATGCTCCTTCTGCCCCTCTGCTGCAGCCTAATCGACAGTCCTGATATTCACTGCCCAGGGCATCACAATTCCATGTCCAGGATGCATCTTTTCCATCAGGTATAACAAAAAGATGTAAAATTTACAAGTTGGCTAATTCACTGGCTCTACTTTTTAATGATACACTGTCACCTCAGGACATCTAGAAAGCTTGAATGTTGTGAGAAACTTGGTATCTTGCTAAGGATAGAGAACCGCATGCCTGCACCAGCACTGTGAAGTTATAATAGACACTGTGACTGTCTAAATGCTTACACATTAGTCCTTGCAAATCAACCCTCAATTTTGCCACAGTGGCAATCTGCCTTCTCCCAGGGATGAACTATGATTAATCTAGGTTAAGGAGGGCAATCTCATTCCCTTTTGCCAGTTATTTTCCCTGACAGCTGAGTTATCATATGAAACAGTATTGGATAATAGATAATATCTGCTCAGGGGAGGAGTTATAAAAAATTGTTTTCTGGTATTATTATTATTGGTGCTGAGGATCAAACCCAGGTTCTTGTGGATACCAGACAAACATTCTACCACTAAACGGTATATCCCCAGCTGTTTTCTGATTAAAAAAAAAAAGGCATTATAATCAAGCTCAACTCTTTCCTTTTGACTTAGACATGGATATGAGAATGGCTCACATCTAAATGGATACTTGGGGGCTGGGGCTGGGACTCAGTGGTAGAGTGCTTGCCTAGCGTGCATGAGGCACTGGGTTTGATCCTCAGCAGCACATAAAAATAAATAAAATAAAGACAGGCTGTCCATCTACAATTTCAAAACAATTTAAAAAAATAAATATCTGGCAGTTAGCTTTATAACCTTGAAGTGTTAGGTATAGGAACCAACAGTGACCAGTTAAAGGCGGTGGATCAAAGAAAAAAAAAATGAAGATTTGATGATATAAGAAACCACTGAAATAGACTGGAATCTTACAGTATTCTCCTTCTTTTTCTTGAAATACCTAATTTTATTTAGAAAATATTTAAAAGTAGACAGAAATCCTGTCAAGAAAGACTAGGTGGAAAATGGGTTCCTAATAAAATAGAATTTTATGTCCACAAAAGTCTAAAAGGTCACAGAAGAGAAACAGTACCATTGGAACAATGGTTAGTTACCTGCATTTTTTTTAAATTATTAATTAATAAGTGTGGGTTTTTCTTTGAATTCCACACAGATAATGTATTACACAGCAATTTGATCATAAAACATTTGTTTCCTACATAAGCTACCACCATAGACAAATCAATACAAACACATCATGAACTGAACAATCTCAGCAGTGGGTAACTACTGAGAAAAATTTGCAGAATTTTGACAAAGGGAGTGAATAGGCCATGGGCAAAGAAAATGAGGGAGAGTTAAGGACAGAAATATTTTAAATATTAATAATTAGCCCAGACATGGTACTGTATTTTTTGCAAAAGAAACTCACATTTTGTAACACATCAGTGAATTTTATCTCCAAATAGATTAGTACACTGGCAAAGTATTCGCATGATAGTGGAGAGATGTGGATGGCAGATACTGAAAACACCCTAGCCTTGTAGATCCCACAGCAACTCAGTGACACCCTGTCTCTAAATAAAATACAAAAAGGGCTGCGGATGTGGCGGATGTACAAAAACAAAAATAAACCAAAAAAGTGGTCCCCTAAGAATTGTAAAAGGGTGTATTTCACATTTAAGCACATAATTTAGAGTACGAAATTCCGATGCTGCTCTGCTAGTCCAGGCTGTTAATACTCTTGTTTCTCTGGTGGGCCTCAATCATGTATCACAAAACCTTCATCTATGGCAGGAAATTTCTACAGTCCTCTGCAATGCAGGGAGGTTTGCCTCCTCATTCTCCTGGTAAATCAGTCCAATGTTCCTTACCTTCCTGAAGTAGAAATCTCTTTCTCCAAGTCCTCACAGTAAGTTTCAACACGTTGATCTGCTACATCGATTTGACCACTTTGTGGGGCTGTTGCCCACACTAGGATTCTTTCGCACCACCCTGGGCCAGCCTTAGGAGTCACAGTGGTTTTCTGCGGTGATGGGCTCTGTGGACCGAAACTTCTTCAGCAGTTTCTTCGGTTTGTTCAGAGCTGGAGCAATAAGGAAGCCAATACAGTTCCTTGACCTTGTCTGGCAGCCACAAGGTCATACTTTTTCCCTCCGTAGTTTGCATCAAAAACTTCTTCAACCACTCAATCTTCAAAATTGTACTGGCATTTTCCTTTACTAATTTATCCACAGGAATTTTGTCAACTCCCATCCTCTTAAAACCTGCTTGTAGTATTTTGAAGTTCTGAACCTATTCGTGTTTCAGATTAGCTTGGAATCTCAGGGAACAGCCAGTCCATAGGGAGTCCCCGAGCCCCCTGTTCGATCTTTGCCAGATTCAAATGCTGAGACCAACTAGACCAGCATGTCATGTCGATTTGGGTCATCACCGGTGACTGACAAGTACACATTTACAGTAATCTTTAGCTCCTGGCAGAACAAAGTCCACTGCCGCACCAGCTCTGGTTCTGTCTTCACCTAACACAAACAAAGGGACCCCGGCTTTCTGCCGGCTGTGACGCACCCCCCCCCCCCCCGCCGCTATGACGCACCAACATACACATTCTTAGTGTCCACCCCATCCTCTCCTCTCTTTGCTATTGGCCATTGAACCCCATGGGGTCCTTAACTACTGAGCTACATCCCCCTTTTTGTTTTTTACTCAGGGACAGGAGCTCATTAAGCTGCTCAGGCCCTCGCTAGATTGCTGAGGCTGCTTTGAACCTGCGATTCTCCTGCCTCAGCCTCCAGAGTTGCTGGGGTTACAAGTGGGCGCCACTGCGCCTGGCACAGTCGTAAGGGAGATAAAAAATGCCTTCATTGTCTAATACCCTATTAGGTTCAGCCAAAAATTATTCTAAGTACAACAAGTTTAGTGGTAAAATGGCACGTTTTGTAATTTGAGCAAACCAAAGGGGTAACAAATTGGGGTGGTGCGTGTGTGCTTGAGGGGAGGTAAGCCCTCAGTTTTCGTCAAGGATCCCTTCCCGAACAAAGCAAGTCTCTTCATCTCCCTCCTCATCCACTTCCCTTCCTCCGCCTCCCTTATCTCTGAGCAAGTGTGCTTCTCTTTTAAAACCGACAAGCACCCCTCGTGTAAAAAACATATTTCTGAATCTACCTTTCATTTATATTAAACACAACTTCAAACTGTTATTTTGAACTTTAGTCCAGAGCCAACGGGTTCATTATAATATTCCTTTTGGCTTATTTGTAACTTCTTTTTCTTTTTCAAACATTTTTTAGTTGTGGACGGACATAATAACTTTAATTAATTAATTTATTTAATGTGGCGTTAGGCAGGCTCTGTACCACGGATCCACAACCCAAGCCCTGTAACTTCTTTTCCTGCAAGAGATATCTGGCTCTTACACTCTACAACATACTTATTTATTCAACATTAATATACAAATAAAACAGCGTCAGAGTCCATAGTCTA